AGAGAGGGAAAGGGCGCAGTCGCAACGTGCAGGCAGAGGGGCGACGTGGGGTGCTCATACCCCCGCCCCCTGCCTATCTGAGGCCACCTCTCCCCCGCATTCTCCACGCTCTCTCGCTCGCTCACCCCGCACCCCCCGTGCGTCTCGGCAGCCAACCCCCACCACGGCTACCGGGGGTGCGTCGCCAAAGGCAAAGGGGGATCCTGACAAGGTGGTGGAGAATGCGGGCATGCCAGACCCGCTAGGTAGGCCGACCCCCCGCCTACCCACCCCCCAAGGGTGGTTGCCACCAAAGGAGCGTCTGGGATCGGCATCCAGGGCCGAAGAACATCCGCCATCATCCTCTGAAGACTCCGACAGTTCTGCCTCTAGTCAGGAGTCCGTGAAGGTGCACCCAGACACCCGCCATGGATTTTGCACAATTCGGCCAATGGCTGGCTGAACACCAGGCGCAATTGCTGAGGGACCTATCTCAACAACAACAGGCAGCACAGGCCTCCCTGGTACGAGAGTTGCAACAAGCCGTGGCCACCCGTGCGGTGCCTGTCGACGAGGGCGGTGGGCCCCTCACGGCCGGACGCGGGCCATGGACAGCCCTGACAAAGTTGGGACCAGACGACGAGATAGAGGCATATCTGGAAGCTTTTGAACGATTGGCGGAAGCAGCCCGGTGGCCAAAAGAGCAATGGGCCTATCTCTTGGGGCCCTACCTCACGGGAAAAGCCCAAGCCGCGGTGAAAGCCTTAGAGCGGGTGGAAGCTGCAGACTACACCAAGGTGAAGGCTGCAATCCTTGACCAGCTGGAAGTGACGCCCGAAACACATAGACAACGGTTTCGTTCCTACCAGCTGCCCGTGCCGGCCCGACCCCGTGCCATCATCGCCGCCCTCAAAGACACGGCTACACGCTGGCTGACCCCTACCACGGATGATGGGAAGAGGGTAGTGGAGATGGTAGTGATAGAGCAGCTCTCGCAGATCCTACCCACCCGGGCCCGACACTGGGTCACCTGTTGGAAGCCGACCAAACTGGGTGAGGCCCAGGAATTGTGGGAGAATTTCCTGGCGGCTGAAGGTCGTGACGGGGGCCCTCGGGTGGAGCAACCCAAACCAGGGCGCAATACCCCGCTGGGTGGTAAGGGCGGCAATACCCCAGGAACTCGAGCCGGTGACGACGGAGGGCGTCCGGGCAGGGCCCGGCTCAGTGTGGCCCGAGGCGCTCCCGGCCTCAGCAGTGTCCCGATATACGTGTTGGCCCCGCTGGCAGGCCGAGGGAATTCCAGCCGACCGGACGGATCCTAGACGGCAGGAGGGAACGCCCGGACGAACAGCGGCCCGGGTCCATGCTTTACCTGCAGACAGTGGGGGCACCTGAGACGGGACTGCCTGCTCATGGAATGCGACCTAGGGCATGAAGCCACCATGCAGACCTCCACCGTGGGGCGCCGCCCTCCAGCTTGGGTACTACCGGTGCGGTTGGGATGGCAGAAAGTCAAGGCCCTCGTAGACAGTGGTAGTTCCCTGTCCCTGGTGCGATCGCATCTCCTACCCCCCGGCCTTCCCGTGGTCCGCACAGCGACGGTGGTGTGCTTTCATGGTCACGAGGAGCGCTGCCCGGTGGTGATGACCCGCTTGACTTACCTGGGCCAGCAATGGGAAGTCCCTCTGGCCTGAGTCCAGAAACTACCTTTCCCCGTACTGTTGGGGCGAGACGTCCCCAGCTTCGTGGAAGCGTTGGCAGCAGCCCGGCCCCCGGAAGAAGAGGAAGGGGAAGCGCAAGCCAGAGATGAGGAACTAGCCGCCCCGACTGAAGAGCAGAGCCCCACGGCCGGACCCGACCTCGGACTTGGTGATGCCTTCCATGATTGGGCCAACAACCCCGACTTCGGGCTCAGCCAGGAACAGGACGAAGCGCTGGAGGGATTACGGCGTCGGACAGCGGTAAGAGACGGCGTGGTGGTGGAACCCCGCCTTAGCCAAAGGCTGCCCCGTATCCTGCAAGAGGGTGGCCACTGGTTCCGGGAGGTGCACAGGAGGGTGGGCGACTACCAACAGTTGTTGGTTCCCCATACCCACATACCCGCAGTTTTGCGTGCGGCCCATGACCACCCCTGGGCTGGACACCAGGGGGTGAAGAACACAATGACACGAGTATTGGCCCACTTCTTCTGGCCCGCAGTGGCCCGCGACGTCAAGGCGTACTGCCGCTCGTGCGAGGTATGCCAAAGGACGTCCAACCGCCCCGAGCCAAAGGCCCCCCTTTCCCCACTGCCGATCATCGGCACCCCCTTTGAGAGGGTGGCGATGGATTTCGTGGGGCCTTTACCTCGGACACCCAGGGGAGCCCGATATTTATTAGTTATAATGGACTACGCAACGCGGTTCCCGGAGGCCGTCCCCCTTCTGAGCTTAAAAAGCGCTGGGGTGGCCCGCACCCTCATGCGGTATTTCACCTGGGCCGGCCTCCCGAAGGAAATCCTCACGGACCGTGGATCTCCCTTCACCACGCAACTCATGCGACAGGTCTGCACGACCCTTCAGATACGGCAGATCTACACAGCCGTCCATCATCCCCAGATGGACGGCCTGGTGGAGCGCCTTAACCAAACCCTGAAGGGCATGCTACGGAAAGCCACGTACGAGAAACCTGCGTCATGGGACCTATACCTCGACCCAATACTATTCGCTATAAGGGAAACGCCGCAGTCCTCGACGGGCTTTTCGCCGTTCGAGTTGGTGTACGGGCACCAACCGAGGGGTATCCTAGAGGCTATGGAGGGGCAGAGTCCGGGCGAGATCGCGACCACAGGCGAAAGGCCTTGTGAGTACGTGCGGAAGCTACGGGAGCGCCTAGAGGCGGTCAGACAAGCGGCGTGCAGCAACCTAGAGAGGGCCCAGGAGGCCCAGAAGCAGCGTTAGGACCAGGGCACACGGTCACGATCCTTCCAGGTGGGGGACCGCGTCCTCGTGTCCAGGGTTATTATGGCCCCCGCTCAGGGAGACCCGTGGCACGGGCCTTTTACGATCTCTCGAGTGTTAGGGCCCTTGACATATGAAGTCAAGTACGGCCGACAACCCAGACAACGGAAAACGGTCCATGTCAACGACCTCAAGAAGTGGTGTGACCAGTCACCCGCTACCGATGAAGCACAGCTGACCATGACCCCGGGGGAGTTGCCGGATGGGACAGCCCCCTGGCAGACAGGAGAAGCCCCTCAATCCTCTCCGGTGCTGGATGAAGCCTTGTCCGAGAAATAACAATGGGAGGCCTTAAGAGTAATACAGGAGACCCCAGGGGTCTTCTCTACAACCCCTGGCTGTACCCCCCTGGTCGAGCACCGCATCCCAACTCCACCGGGGCAGGTGGTTCGGGTCCCCTGGAGACCCATAGCCCCCAAACTATGAGACACCGTCGAGAGGGAAGTGGAGACGATGCTCCAAATGGGCGTCATAGAACCGTCCTCGAGCGCCTGGAGGAGCCCCATTGTACTCGTCCCGAAGCCCGACAACAGCGTGCGATTTTGCATCGATTATCGAGAACTGAATAAGATGGCTCAGTTCGACGCATACCCGATGCCCCGCGCCAACTTGTTAATCGACCAGTTGGGTTCGGCTAAATATCTCTCTGCCTTGGACCTTACGAAGGGGTACTGGCAGGTGCCCGTACGCCCGGCCGATCGGGAAAAGACGGCATTCGCCACGCCACGCGGCCTGTTCCAGTTCAAGCGGATGCCTTTTGGGCTGCACGGAGCGGCTGCCACTTTCCAACGCCTCGTCGACAAGGCCCTGGGACGATGTAGTGCCTTTGCCCAGGCCTACATCGATGACATCATCATCTGTAGCGCCGACTGGG